TTTGTACTACTACCAACATAGACGAATTATTACCAAAACTGTATGTGCTTTAAGAATATTACTTATTTATGACGAAACATTAATTTTCAATTTTATGTTCAACTTTAGAACCAATAAACAAAACTTGGGACATTACGAAGTCAATTTGCAACTATATTATATTAACAACCTTCCAATTTTACAATTTGATTCAATCATGCATACATTTACATGATTATGAGCTTAAATGAGACTCAAAGTAGTTTAAAACAGTTGACCTTTCAAGGAGAGTAGATCCTCCAGGACTCAATTTTATAGTGGTTAACATCACTAAGTAAGGTTACCACATCATCACTATGGTTACTACATTATCATAATTTTTGATGAACAACAAAAAAAATAACTACAGGAGTTGTATTTGAGTCTGGGTAGGCATTTCATTTTTAATTATTTTTTGTGTCAATATTTATTGACCAGAAATTACTATACCTGGCACTACTATTAGTATATTAAATAGCTTATTACATAAATTTAATATTACTACTTTATTATTACTATTATAATGTCCAGCACTGCAACAGTGAGTATTTTACCTGGGTACAAATCACTATCAGTAAATGCAGGAATAATACAAAGGGTCAGGAGAGACCCAATCGAACACAAACAATAAGAGCTATCCTTCTTGAGTTCAAGTTCCCACTTTATTTATCCAGATGCCCAGTAACAGAGGGTTGTTCTTCCTTGTAACTGTGCACATAATTATACAATATAGAATATAAAATTATAGGATTTAAACATTTGGTTGTAAAAATAAATATACCTTTAAAAATGAGATATTTATTATTATGATGCAAAAACAATAAATATTGACATCCCACCACCCACCTCCTCCCCCACCCCATAAATTTTACTCCAAAACCCTAACCAAAGGGGCCAAGGCAGTGCTTTGGTTTGCACCACTCTTAGTTAGACCTGTTCACCACCTGTTGGAAATCAAAAAAACTTCTGACTTGAGTTTGAGCATATCCACAGCACTTGTTACTTGTTGCTTTTTTTTCTTTCAGTTACGAAGCATTTTAAGTTTTTCCCTGGTCATGGTCAACATGCTTTTGTGCTGCAGTCATATTGGAGCAGTAGTAGGCAACCCGGCACCCATAAATACTTCTGGGTGGAAGGAGGCAATGAAGATAAAGTGCCTTGCTCAAGGACACAAGTGAGATGCACAGTGAGGGACTGAAACCCCAGACCTCATGGTTGGGAAACCAAACCATTCCCATTGCGGCAAACCACAAAACGCTTCACTGAGACCCTCCAGTCTGATAGGCCTAACAATGAACTTCTTAAAAGTATCTATGATCAACCCTAAACTTCAACAAATTACGCTATTATTAGGAACTCCCTTATATAGATCGTTTATTGGATTGTGAATTTCATTGGAGAACATTGATGAAAAGTTTATTACAAGGTGTTTATTCGGATTAGGTAAATCTTATGGTAGGTATATTCTTTCAAGTACATCAATGGTTTACTTGAAGAAACTTAATGGGTATTGCAGGGATGTCACCAGCTTTTTGGACTGCCGGTCGGCGTTTTCCCGAGGGAGGGGGGTCGCCGTATTCGTGGAAGCTCTTAAAAACCAAAAGGCCTAAGTCAAGTAGGCCTAGGCCCGAGGCTAGCTGACGCAATTCTTTTAGGCTAGGCCCAGGTAGGCCTAGGCCAGAATTTGAGGAATGCAACAAAACAGATGAAGATGAGACTTACTGTAGGCCTAATTAAATTCAATAGTTGACATGCTTTGTTTTAGATTAAAAAATAATAATAAACAAATCCCGGTGACAAAGCGTCGATCCGACTGTACCCAGCCGCAATTGCCGTAATTTCACATGTTTGATGATTACCACGATGAATGTGTATGTCACCTGTCTCTTATACACATCTAGATGTGTATAAGAGACAGGTATATACGTTCTTGATCATCGTAATG